TGAAGACAGGTGGGTTTTGTTTGGGTTTGGGGTTTTTTTTTGGTGTGACCGGGTTGGGTTGGAGGGGGGGTGGGGGGTGGGGAGGTGTCGGGTCAAGGAAAGGTTTTCTCCGAGATGTTTAAGCTGACAGAAAACAGGTCCTTATGCAAACAACACGGGCAGCGAATTAGCATCGACACAATGGAGTCCCCCAATGTCTACAGAGAAATCCTTTTCTTCTAAAGTATATAAGGAGGTAGAGGAGTTGGCTTGTAGTTCGGCTCAAGCTTCTAGGTCTTAAGGAACAGTAGAAGACGTGAGAGAACTAGGTGTTGAAGTCGTTGATCATTTCAGTCCGTCTCCGTTTCACACAACACGCCACATTAATTTTCATGCCCAAAAAAAAAAATCTTAGGTGGGCACCATAGAAATAATTATAATAATATACCTATAGAAGGATAGGAGTTTGACTGTGGTGCAAAATATCTACACCCTGTAAAGATCTTGTGGTTTTTTTTGTGTGTTTTTTTGTTGTTAGTTTTATTTGTTCATGTATTTTTTTAGTTTGAAGTGAGAAACATTTAGTTACGTCCCCAACATAACGTTGGTGAATTCATCGAATATTTAGAAAATAGAAGACGAAGAAACGACAGTACACAAAAAGCTCGAAACAAACAAAGAAAAACAAAGCTCTCTTCGTTGTAGAGATAGAGATTTCCAGCTTCATCGTTTGGTTGCCGACTGTCAAGATCCAAAAATGTTCTCTCAGCACCCCGAAAATGGTGAGTACCTGGCTTACGATTTCAAGTTTGGTTTTTTTTGTTTTGTTTTTTTTGTTATGTATACTACATGGAGGGTGCGGTGGCGGAGCGGTTAGTGCGATCGTCTCCGAAGCGGAAAGTCCGTGTTCGAGCCTCGGATTTTTTTTCGCCCCCTCTCGCCGACCCAGCAGTAATGGGTACCTGACTTTGAGTTGGAGAGGTAAAGGCGCGTGGAAAGGAACTGGCCACCCTACCACAATATGCCGGAGGCTCAGAAAGTTGTCTCACTAACAACAAGGCAATCCCCAATGTCCGGATCGGATGCGGGAATAATTTTACTTTATTACATGGGTTTTTGTTTTACGTTTGTATTTCATGTATGCAATATGGATTGTTGTTTTGTTTTGTTTTTGTTTTTGTTGTTGTTATTGCTTTTATTTTAAACATGTTATTTGGACTCTGTTTTTTTATTTATACTCTGTGTGCTATAATATTATGGAGTTTTTAAATTGTTTGTATCTGATGCATGTTAAGACGGTTAAAAAGAAAAGTAAAACCCATACCAGAAAAGAAGACCACTAAGGCCTCTCTTGTCACCTTCCCCTCTGCCACGTACGACGACATTGACTTTATACTACATGAACAAGCTGACATCACCTCCAAACCCATGAGATAGATGCTATCTTATACGGTTGACACTGTCAGAGATGGATACCCGCACTGAGGAAAAGAGTGTCCGTCTTAGACAGGTTATGATCATCTTACGCAGTGTCATTATAATGTAAAAAAAAAAGCCAACAAACAAAACAAAACACCAAAAAAAAACAGAGGGAAAAATGCAGGTGGGAAATGGGAAGTTGCCTTTCTAACAGGTGATTGTCTTATGGCACGGGATTTAACTTACAAAAAACAAGCATAAACGGTACAGATCTTGGGTGTGTTATACATCCGTGTTCCCTCCTTTCCAACAACCTCCTTACACACCCACGCCAACACTACCACCCTTCCCTTAACCACCACCACCCTTCCCTTAACCACCACCACAACAACAATCACTTTAAGGGGTATCGCTACCTTGAAAACCATTTTTTTCACCAGAGAACCTGTGAAGCATGTACTGGTATATTATGTTGACACTTATGTGAAGGAATGACAATCTACACCTTCAAACAATTCATAAACTCATCGGTTACCATGGAAACGGCAGCCATCTTGAATTTTGTAGACAATTTTATTTTCTTAAACATTTCAAAACTATGCTACCTAGACGATTTTTAAAATAGGTAAAAGGGAGAGAAGGTATGAGATTTTACAGCTAGCTAGTTTTCATATATTTGATAGGACCATTAGTAATCAGTTCAGAGGTCTTGAAAGTTATAAATTGACCAAAACTAGTGGAAAATTTTTGCTAAATATTCCCCTCTTTCTGAACAAGCTCACTTTGGAGACCTCTAATCGTAGCGATACGTTCAGGGTTATAGATAGATGAGTCGATGGGGCAATGTGGTTAGGAACACAAACTCGCAACCGTAAGGTCATTGGATCGAATCCTGTAATTGAACCGATGCTGTGTACTAGGGAAAGGCATTTTACAAGACCTTTCCCCACCTCACCCAGGTGTGAAACGGTAACCAGCTACAGAGAGCGAGCAGTTTATTAGTGTTTTAGAGTGTGGAATCTGCAGCTTGCAACGTATGATTCTGAGAGTTTTGGGGCCTGGGGGGGGGGTAATAGTGTAGTGCAAAGTGTATTATTATGCAACTTGCTGTCAAGTGTGAGGGGGGAGGGGGTATGAGCTATGTAAATGCTAGTTATTACTATTGTTGTTGTTGTGATTGTTATGATGATGGTGGTGATGATGATTATGATTGTGATCATTATTGTCACTATTATTATTGATATTTAAATAGTATTGTAATACATGTATTGCAATCATTGATATTTTAGACTTCATTTTCCTTGTTTTGATGGGAGACACTGAATCTCGTTCTCGATAACCAACATTAACCGTAATGATTTTGGTTATGTTCTACACCCCATGACGCCCCCCCCCCAAAAAAAAACCCCACACAGACACACACACACACACACACACACACACACACACACACACACACACACACACACACACACACACACACACACACACACACACACACACACACACACACACACACACACACACACACTTCACTTCCCGTCGAAAAAGAAACAAGAGAGAGAGAGAGAGATAAAAAAAATCCGTCTGCAGCTGAGGAAATAGTACTTTCGACAGTCAGCATTATTACTTTATTTAAAACTGTTCGCAGGCACACAGTGAGAAGAGGAAATGAGGATAAAAATCTAGCCATAGTGCAATTCGGTGTATCGGTACTACTTTTGAGCTACTATTGAGCTACCTTTTTGGAAATGCGCTATATAAATGTTATATATTATTATATTATTATATCTTTTCGAGTGCAGCGGACAGACACATTGTCCAACAAGCCACAGATCTAGGTCAATGTTTGGGCACAATTTGAACAACCTTACACAAACCTGAAACGTGAATGTGCTTAGGTATTTGCCATCCATTTCAAGTCTAGGACAAAGAAATGAGAGGTGCAAAATCTGCTTCAACAATTGTTGAAGTCATGATTCGAATTTCAAAGTACCTCAAAACTGTACAGCGGGTGGTTTACAACAAGGGCTCTGGTGCAGTTTGCTCCTTCTTTCCATTTCGACCGTACTTATTGTCATTACTGTCTCCTCTTTATTTACAGTGTATGTCAGTTACTCAATAGTTATACCTCTAACTTTCGGCCATTATTGGACAATATTGTGTTACAAGTGCCATAAAACTATTTCTAAAATCAAAATCAAAACGGCTTGTTTGCTTAAGATGGTGAATAAACACAAAGCACCTGTTCAATGAAGAAAGGAGACCCCCGAAGCCTTTTTTGTTTGCCTTATGACTTGCTGAAAATGTGATTTCTTTTCATGTCTTGAGCTCTGACAGAGATGCATTGAGCAGGATAGAAATAGTTTGCTGACACGCTAGCATGAGATGCTGACACAACAGCATGAGATGCTGACACAACAGCATGAGATGCTGACACACTAGCATGAGATGCTGACACAACAGCATGAAATGCTGACACAACAGCATGAGATGCTGACACACTAGCATGAGATGCTGACACAACAGCATGAGATGCTGACACGCTAGCATGCGGCTCAAGGCCACCCCCCC